TCACCTTTGTTGTTATTTTTTAATATCTATTTAATTTGTTTGTTTATTTGGCTTCACTGGACCTTAGTTGTGGCATGCAAGATCTTTCATTATGGTGCATGGGCTCACTGGTTGGGGCGTGCAAGGCTTGGTTGCTCTGTGGCTTTTGGGATCTTAGTTACCCAACCGGGGGTAAAACCCACATCCCCTGGCATTACAAGGCAGATTCTTAACCCCTGGACCACCAGGGAAGTCCCATGTTGTTTCTACTTCAGTAATACTACTTGCTTTGTAGTACTGTTGAAGGAATAAAATGAGCCAGTGTGTGCAGAGGACAGTGTATGATGTACACAGGCCCTCAGTAAATGGTAGATGTCCGTCATCATTGCAGCCAATATTCTAACCCAGTCCCAAAACCTCTTTATCAGGTGACGTGCTGCTCTGGCTGTGTCCCTGCCAATCCCTCTGGCATCACATTGACTTCTGTGTTGCTGGAAATGTATTGTGCTCAGCTGAGTGTTTGCAAATGGCAGATCATTAAGGAAGCACCGAGGAACTAGGGCAAATCAATACAGCGCACAAATGGCTAAAATCCCCATCAGATGTTCCCATTGTTTCTGGTGCCGGAAGATGCTCAGATGTTTGATTTGTATGTTTGTTTTTATGCTAGTTCTATTAAATCAGTTTGCAGCCTGAAGAATGTTTGCCAAAGAAAGACACACGTGCCAGTTAAGAGAGACTGAAGACAGCCGCTGGCTTCAGACACATCCCAAATGTGACAGTTTTTGCTGATGTTCATGCTTCTTTTTGTCCTTGGCACTGAATTTTTGTCACGGGGAGCATGGATCTTTGCATGCTTGTTCCAAGCTGTGTAAAACCCACACAGGCCACCTCCTGTGAGGAGCCTGTGGGAGCAGAGCACACCGCCCCCAGACTTCCGCCCTTGACCGAGGGACCGTTTTCCTGAGGATGAACAGGCAGGACCAAAGGAATGGCGATGCCTCGGCTGCAAATGGCATTCAGCAAAGCTCAGTGACTGAGAGTGTGAGCTTTCCAACTGGATGAACGTGAGTCAGAGTCCCAGCTGTAGCTTTTCCTGGCTTTGTGAATTTGAACGAGTGACTTAAACTCTCTGAGCCTCAATGCTCTCATGTTTAAAGTGGGAACAGTGATAAGGAATAGGACCTGCCTCCAGGAGGTGTAAATATTTAGACGAACCTGTGCAAAGCTCTTAGCCCGATGCCTGACTTAACAAGTACGGGCCGATACATGTTAGCTCTTATTGTTGTTATCATTCTCACCCTGGCTTTAACTTCACATTTGAAGTACACTGACCAACTCTGGAGCCCCCTGAGGCAAGGCTAACCTGCATTATGTCCTGGCCTTGGCACTGTATAAGGGGTTAGATGTCCAGCTGGTACCCACAGCAGCGTAAGAGGCAGAGAGACTGCACAGATAAAGACCTAAATGGCATTCAGCAAAGCTCAGTGACTGAGAGTGTGAGCTTTCCAACTGGATAAACGTGAGTCAGAGTCCCAGCTGTAGCTTTTCCTGGCTTTGTGAATTTGAACGAGTGACTTAAACTCTCCGAGCCTCAATGTTCTCATGTTTAAAGTGGGAACAGTGATAAGGAATAGGACCTGCCTCCAGGAGGTGTAAATATTTAGACGAACCTGTGCAAAGCTCTTAACCCGATGCCTGACTTAACAAGTACGGGCCGATACATGTTAGCTCTTATTGTTGTTATCATTCTCACCCTGGCATTAACTTCACATTTGAAGTACACTGACCAACTCTGGAGCCCCCTGAGGCAAGGCTAACCCCATTATGTCCTGGCCTTGGCACTGTATAAGGGGTTAGATGTCCAGCTGGTACCCACAGCAGCGTAAGAGGCAGAGAGACTGCACAGATAAAGACCCTCCCCAGAGTGTGCAGGGTACAGAGTGCAGGATACACAGCAATGTCACAGCCAGGGTTAACAGACTGAGATCGGAATTCTTTGTTCTTTGTTCAAAGTCACACCTGTGCACTCTGCATATGTTTTATAAATACACGCACACACGTGTATATATATACCTTTCCCAACCCAAGGATCCAACCCAGGTCTCCTGCATTACAGGTAGATTCTTTACCATCTGAGCCACCAGGGAAATCCCCCCCCCCCCCCCACACACACACATCTATATTCCACCTTCCCTCAACTTCTACAGCCTTTTTTACAAAATACCTACTTCAGAGGGTACATGATGTCTCTGGATGAGGACTGGGATCCTCACTCCTTAAACTTTTCTGGGACTTTGGGAAAGCTACCTTAGTCCCTGGGCCTCAGTTTCTCCGTGTTTTCAGAGATATACCTTTCCCAACCCAAGGATCCAACCCAGGTCTCCTGCATTACAGGTGGATTCTTTACCATCTGAGCCACCAGGGAAATCCCAAACACACACACACACACACACACACACACACACACACATCTATATTCCACCTTCCTTCAACTTCTACAGCCTTTTTTACAAAATACCTACTTCAGAGGGTACATGATGTCTCCGGATGAGGACTGGGATCCTCACTCCTTAAACTTTTCTGGGACTTTGGGAAAGCTACCTTAGTCCCTGGGCCTCAGTTTCTCCGTGTTTTCAGAGAATGCAGAGCATCCACTGGGTAGAAAAAGAAAGATGCCATCTCTGCCACTTAAAGCTCTGTCACTTTGGATAGGCTATTGGGTCCTGTAGGTTTTATTTTCCTCATCCACAAAATAGGACCAACACAGTTTGCCTCCACAGTGTAAGGACTCAGAGAGAGAAAGAGACACAAATCAACTCAATTCCATAAAGGACAGCTCTTCTTGTTATATTAGCAATAAAATCTAGTTCTGTGATGGGCCGTCTTGGGCTCGTCTCTGTCACCACATTATTAAACTCCTGGGGACGGATATCACCTTCTACTCCCTGACTCACGCCTCCCTTGGCTCTGGCACCCCTCACTAAGGTGGACGTTAATCCTGGTGCTCTGCACGAGCAGCCGGCTGGCCTGGTGGGCACGTGCTCCTGGCCTCAGCCGGGAGCGGCGGGTCCTTTTGCAGGAGTGGAAGGGGTTGCCATCGTTACAAAGAGTGGCTCTCTCCAGAGGCATCCTCCAGCCCCCAGCCTCCTGCCAGAGTGGCCGCTGAATCCCAGGATTCCTGGAGAGCATTTGCCAGCCGACTGGCCACCCCAGTAGTCCACAGAGCTGCTGCCTTGGCTGAGAAATTCCTGCACTCTGCTCAGCTGGAAAATGAGAATGTCCTTGGGCCCTCTCAGTCAAGGCGGCCTGCCCAGATCTGCCGCCTCGGTGGGTGGCTGTATCCCGCAGCTCGCAGCCTCTGCGACCTCGTGCATGCTTTCTGGCTCACCGTGAGCCAGCCAGGCCCCTGTCCAGCCATCCTGTGCCCACGAGCCCAGCAGAGCACACCCCCGCCCGTTCCAGCCCCACCAAGACTCTCTGAATAGACTGTGGCAGTCTCATTTGTAGACTCGATTCATCCGGCAGCCAGGAATGATCTGTCCTTATGCTCCTCTCTCCTCTCACCCACCCTTCCTCTTTCTCCTCCCCACCCCTCACCCCCTTCCTTCCGCCTAGAGAGTGATTTGTCTGTGTTATGGGTAGGCCTGACAAACCATTCCACATTAGCAGCTAAGATGTTGTTTGAAATGGGAAAATTGCTGGCAAACTGCTCCATTAGTGGTTCTAGTAACAAATACTCTCTTTCTCCCAATGAAGATGAGATTGCAGGGGCACAAATTAATATGACTGTCTCCCCTTTTCTGCAGTGGGGATTACTCTTCAAGATGAATGGGTTCATCCCAGCCAGAAATGTGCCTCCTCTAGACGTAGCCTCCAAGGGAGCCAGCTCCTCCTGTCTCTTCCTTCTGCTTCCCCCAGCCCTCCCCTCCACACATACACATCTTTTTGTATCCCAGCAAAGGGTTTGGGGCTCATCCATGCCAAATGAGGAGGTGATGAAAAGATCCGCACCTCGGAGAGACGGGAGATGGATGAGGAGGAGATGCTGAGTCTTCAGCCTGGGCCAGGCCCTCATTCATCACCTCTAATAGAGGGCCCTGCCTCCCACTCATGCCCATTTCCCAGCACACCTGTTCTGGGTGACGGGAAGTCATTTGAGAGATGAAAGAATAAAGAACGGAGAAGCATGCTCACTCCCCACGCTCCTTCTCTTCTGAGGAAGCTGTAGGCCCTGAGCCTGCAGCTTCTTTTGTTCTTTCTAGAGTAATAGAGGAGGAAGCATTTCAGCAAAGTCTATAAGACAGTAAAGCCACAGACTGCAGCAGCAGCCCCAGGGGAGTGGTCCATTCTGGGCCCCTGGGGCCCTCCAGATGTCAGGGAGCCAGTTTGATGAATGTCAGGCTCAGAGCTTAAAGACTTGTAGACTCCATGATATTAGAACAGCCAGTTCAAAACCCAGGAACAAATATTGAATCATTAGGTTGTACACCTGAAATTAATATTAAGTTCTATGTCAATTATACCTCCATTAAGAAAAGAAAAGCCCAGAAATGAATCAGCCTTGGTCATGTCTGCCTGTGCAGCATGCCAGCAGCAGGGCACTTGAGGTTTTAACTGAAAGGTGACTTGCTTCCAGGATAGACAGGTAATACTATCTGTCCATCTCTCTTTGCTCATCCTTCTTTTTATCCCTTTGGCTTTTTCAGCCCTCTGGTTGCTTCCTACAACATTTCCTGAAGATGACAACTGCTTCCCAAAGACAACTTGTCATCAGCAAGAACAAAACATCCTCAAGGAGAAGTCATCTTTTCTAGCTTTCTCCCAGGGGAGTTAGACCTTGGGCTGGACACCCCCAGACACCAGAGCATGAGTCTCTGGCTTTTCGACAGTGTTTACAAAATCTCTCTTGTCCAAGAATGTGCACCATTGATGGGAGAAACCACCCTGTCCTCAAGGCCCCAGCAACCAGTTGTTGATGGATAAATGGTTAATCGACTCTTCTCTGCTCTGTTTCTCAGACGCCTGGAACAGAACTCCATCAAATCCATCCCTGCTGGAGCCTTCACCCAGTACAAGAAACTGAAGCGCATGTGAGTCTCCCCAGTGAGAAAGATCTTTTCAGTTTGGGGGGTCATAGGTGTAGTAGGCAGTCTCCCCAGATAAGGAGCTGCATGACCACGCTCAGGAAAGCTCAGTGTCAGACCTGGAATGTCTCCCAAGACTGGGACGTACGGCCTGAGTGTTGCCTTCAGATGGGAAGGTGTATGGGTTCAGGCATCTCAGAGCTTAGGGCGCCTCCAGCTACAATGCAGTAAAATTATCTGGGTAGGAGGTGGGACTGAGTTGGCCTAAAAAACGGTCCCATCTCACTGTTTTATTGCCCTCTGGCTTTGGGGATGTGGACCTCAGTTAGGCACTTCAGTAGAGACGTGACCGTGACTCTATAATCCTGCAGCGCCATAGCAACACCCCTCCCAGCATGCACACATTCAGCCAACAAATGCCCAGCAGGTGTCCACTGGGCGTGGAGAACTGTGCTGGCGTCTATGGTAGAAGACAAACTAAAATGGTTTGTCTTAGTTTAGACAAACTAAATGCTCTGATGGCCCTTACATATTCGAGTGGGAGGGCAAATATCAGAAATTGATCAGTTACGAGAAAGCATTGGATTGGCCAAAAAGTTCGTTCAGGGTTTTCTGTACCATCCTATGAAATAAAACAAAAGAAGGAAAGAGAGTTATGGAGAGGCCGTCTCCAGGCGGTTGGACCATGAAACCCTCTGTGTGTGGGTGACCCAAATGAAGGGAGGGAGGGAGTCTAGATGAGCTCTCAGGATGGTTTGCAGAATAGTGAGGCAGAATGGAGTGAATGAAAAGGAAAGTGGCGGAGGCTGTGCAGGAAAGGTAGGTAAGGGCCAGATCCTATGGACCCTTTAGACCCATGGTCAGGACTTTCTAATCTTTCTGAGTGAGATAAGAAGATTAGATCATCACCCTCAGCCGTAATGATCCCCATCATTGCCATTACCACCATATCCAGTATTACGCCATCGCTACATCCTATCAGTACCTGGTGACATCACCATGACTGACAGCATCCTGAGCCTCATTGCCTTCATCCCCACCATCGTGGCAACATCAGCAGCACCACCCCTCCCCTTCACACGACTGCTGTGAGCACTTCTCTGTGAGCCAGTCAGAGTGGGGTACTCTGAAGGGAGGCTAGTAGGATTCAGATACACCCCCACCATTGCCATCATAGATATGAAGAACCTGGGAGGGAGGCTCTCATTCCTTTCCCGTTTATGACAGCCCAGTAATCACGATGCCATCTTCAGTGCATTTGCTTCCTTTCTCTGGCTCCCGACAAATGAAGGAGAGAGAGGAGGTAGAAATAGGCACGGACTTGGTTTTGTTCCCTTCCACTGCAGGCTGATTCATCAGTCTCCCTTGAGTAGGAGGGCCTACATTAAAGAGGTTAAGTGTCTGCCGGCTCCATTTATGTTAAAAATAAACATCCCTGAGAAACAGTGGCATGGTAGGCTTTACCCTCAGGTATCAGGAAACCAGCTTCCCATCTCCCTGGAACTCCAAACCAAACAAGATTTTCTCCTGGTACAGTTCCAGAAGTAGAAACCAACATAATGTGCCAGCCCTGAGCACATACTCCTTCCCTCCACTAGGCAGCATTCCTGTTAGAGGAGCTGTATAAATATAGGCCTTAATATTTAAAACCATGGGCCATTAATCTCCCGGTCTCCCTGCTTTCCCAGCTCACTCTCCATAACCCCCACCCCCCCAATTCATTTTTAAAGCCCAGCTTGATTATGCAGCCAGATAGTAATTTCAGTGAAAAATGACAAATTCAGTCACTGCCCCAACCTCTATCTCTTGCATGATTTAAGTGACTACTCTAATTTTTTGTGAAGTCCAGGTAATTTAGAACATGGCTATGTTTTACTGTCCTTTCTCCATCCGCCTAGAATTGCCACAATCTGTGCATTCAAAATTCATAAGACCTTCTCAGTATGACCTGGGGAGTGAATTTCATTTTTGATCATTTTTATGCTATCGATATTTACTATGATGCTCTCTTTTTCCTTCCCAAGAGGATGGTGGTAGGAAAGAGAGAGCACTTAAAATTTTTTCTGACTAATAGAACTTCAGAAATCTAGACTGAAGTGCAAGGGCTTGGGAGACATAAAGTCCCTGGTGAAAACAGATTTTAAAACACAAAGACTGAATTCCTCCCAGGCGTTTGTGACCAGTTTATCTCTACTATCTCACAGAAAGATGTTTTCCTTCAACAATGAATGAACCACGTCCTCTTCTTATCTCCATTCCAATGACAAAAAAAAAAAAAAGTTATCTTGATTGGATGGTTTTGTCCCTGAATAGAATGAATTTCAAGTGGTCAGCTTGGTGTAAAAAGAGTATTTCCAGGTAAAATCTAATATAAAGGTTGTGCTGTGGTTCAGTCACTCAATTGTGTCTGACTCTTTGCAACCCCATGGACTGCAGCATGCCACGCTTCCCTGTCCTTCACTATCTCTCAGAGTTTGCTCAAATTCACATCTGTTGGGTCAGTGATGCCATCAACCATCTCATCCTCTGTTGCCCCCTTCTCCTCCTGCCCTCATCAGGAGGAAAAGACCCCAGCATCAGGGTTTTTTTCCATGAGTCAGCTCTTGCATCAGGTGGCCAAAGTATTGGAAGTTCAAGTTCAGCATCAGTCCTTCCAATGAATATTCAGGGTTGAGTTCCTTTAGGATTGACTGGTTGAATCTCCTTGCTGTCCAAGGGACTCTCAAGAGTCTTCTCCAGCATCACAGTGTGAAAGCATCAGTTCTCTGGTTCTCAGCCTTTCTTATGGTCCAACCCTCAATTCATACATGACTACTGGGAAAAACCATAGTTTTGACTATACAGACCTTTGTTGGGAAAATGATGCCTCTCTTTTAATATGCTGTCTGGGTTTGTCATAGCATTTCTTCCAAGGAGCAGGCATCTTTTAATTTCATGGCTGTGTTCACCATCCACAGTGATTTTGGAGCTCAAGAAAATAAAGAGTAGGAGGGAAAGTAGGAGGCGTTAGGGAAGATGCCCCAGTCTTACAGGGCTGGTTAAGCGGGAGCACTGACACTTGAAGGTCTCACCTTCAAGATGTTGAGTTCTTTCCCTCCCATGCTCTTAGGCAGAGCAAGTTCCACAAGTTCCACCAACTTCTAGTGGTTTTAAGCTCATATCCCCCCACTTGACCCTCATCAGCATTGGAAGTTACCACCTCTGTTCTGAACAACCTGCAAAGGCCACTTCTTCTCCATCATCCAGGAAACTGGGATAGGTTTGAGACTAACCATGTTTTGAAATACTGGTCTCAAGTATATCTCAGGGACCACCTGCCTCGTAATCACCTGGAGATTTGTTATGTATGCAGATTTCTAACCCCAATTCCCCAGTTGGCCAAATCAGACTTTCTATGGGTGTGTTTAATTTTTTTTTAAAATCTTTTAGCCTCACTTCATGGCATGTGGGATCTTAGTGCCCCAACCAGGGATCAAATCTGTGCTCCCTGCATTGGAAGCATGTAGTCTTAACCACTGGACCTTCAGGGGAGCTCCTGTGGGTACATTTTTAATAAACCTCTAGTGGTTTGAGGACCACTAGCCAAGGGTGGCCCAGACACCAGGACTCAGCTCGGGCCCACCTGATGTAGACTGGGGGAGGCCAAGCATGGACACGGGTGGGCACTCATCCTTACTAGGCTGCCTTCCTGTCCAGGCCACCGCCTTCTGCTCCCAACTCGACGAAGTGGAAAGGAGACTGCACATGCCAGTTCTGTGCCCAAGTCACTGTGGCCGATCACTTGTCGCTCTGGTCCTTTACCCCCACGGCTGCTATTCCCTTTCTACAGAATTAAGAACCACCACAGTCAGTTCCCAGCTAAACTGTCACTTCTCCAATGTCTGCGTGCATGCATGCCTGGGCACTCAGTCATGTCCAACTCTTAGCGACCCCACAGACTGTAACCCACCAGGCTCCTCTGTCCATGGAATTTTCTAGGCAAGAATACTGGAATGGGTTGCCATGCCCTCCTCCAGGGAATCTTCCTGACCCAGGGATCAAACCAAAATCGCTCATGTCTCCTGCATTAGCCAGCAAGTTCTTTACCAGCTGAGCCACTGGTGGTGGGGGTGGGGGGCAATCCCAGGTCTACTCCCAGCATCTTCAAATCATGAGACATCTCACCTTGTCTTTAGAGAAAGATGCTTGCAGAAGAGTCTAGTTGTGAACTGAAAACTAATTTGCACTGGCAAGACTAAAGCAGAGGGCTTCCGCAGTGGCCCCAGAATTTTCTCTCACATGATAGGGGTCTCAGGGCCTTGAAGGGACCTCCCACTAGGGATGTCACACACACACACACACACACAAATCACCGAACAAAACAGACTTTCTCACTGGAATGATCTAAGTACAGACTGCGCACTTGCCTGAAGTGCCTTGCTAGGCAGCCATGCTGAGGCCCAGAAAGATTAGGGTAATCTGGGGCATTTGCTTGTTAAGACCCTTATACAAAAAAAGAGCTCTGAAGAAAAGCCTGGTGTAAGCTGATGAGTTTGCGAGCACAATCTGTGGATTTGTTAGAGGCAATCTCGCCTGCTGAAGGGATAAGCCCACCAGCTGTGCCTAAGAAACCTTAACCTGAGAAGTAGCTTTCAATTCACAAGCCATGGAAACAGGGAGGAAAGGGAGCAGAGACCTAAACACAAGTTGTCGGGCAGCCCTTCTGAAGGCTGGTTTCTCAGGTGGCACTAGTGGTAAAGAACCTGCCTGCCAATGCAGGAAGCATAAGAGACAGGGTTTCAATCCCTGGGTCAGGAGGATCCCCTGGAGGAGGTAATAGGCAACCCACTCCAGTATTCTTTGCCTGGAGAATCCCATGGACAGAGGAGCCGAGCAGGCTGCAGCCCATAGGGTTGCAAAGAGTCGGACACAACTGAAGTGTCTTAGCACACACATGCGGAAGGAGTAGAGAAATAGGCTCAAGGAATGCACTTAAGAGGCTAGGGGAGTGGGCATCTGACCTCACTGCAAGCAGTTGCTTAGATGTGCTTTCTTCTCAATATTCCCCTGTCTCCTCCTTGTTGACCCTCCAAGACCCCCAACTTCCCCTCTTCTTCACAAAAGCAAAGACCCGTTGATTTATTTTGTTAAAGAAAAGGCACCAGAGTTTATTGTAGCTGGAAATTGGAGCATCTCCACATCCAGGGATAGGAGCCCAGAGGCTGTCTCTGCGCTAATGACTCCTAAGAGATATCTCTGCACTCAGAGATATGTTGTTAGTGAGAACTAGATGTGGGTGTTCAGAAGTGAGCAACCTCCTGATCAGGGAGATTCTAATGCCCCAAGGCTGGGTTAGCTGCCTTCTAACACACAGCATCCTTCTCACTCACCTTGTCTCTGGTCTTCCCTACCCTGGGCTTGCTTCCTTCCAAGGAGTATTGCCAGTGACAACCCCATGTCTCAAAGTCACCGTGAGACTCTCGTGATGTCTTTACACCACACGGCCTGAAGATGCGCTGAACCAGAGACTTCAGTCACTGCTCACAACCTCCATTCAGGTCAGGGAGGGAAAGTCACTGGGTGACTCAGGACTTTGGGGGAGAAAAATAAGCATTTGCCAAGACATTACATAAGAAGGTGAGGCGTACAGGAACCCTGGGCTGTGTTTGGGCGAAGCTGGCTTCTGCGTCACTTATGCTATAATTGCCTGGTTCTGCAACCTACAACAAGGCCCCCATCTAACTGGGTGCCGTTTCCCACCTGCAGAACGAAGGCTGCCATATGCATGGCCATATGTCAAAGTCAAGGTGCCACGAGTAAGCATTCTTTGAAAGCCAGAAGAGTGATACACATATATAGTGCATTTTATCATGAGGCATTTGAATTGAATGATCTTTAAGCCCCTGCTCTCACATTATAAATAAATAAATTGACTGATGAATTCATCCTCATCATATTGCATATCTGCAGTGCTTGGTCCACCCCTCAGATATGGCCATATCATACCTTTGAGCTGTGTTCTCAGACTTTCCTGTTAATTTTTCAGAGACATCAGCAAGAATCAGATTTCGGACATTGCTCCGGATGCCTTCCAGGGTCTGAAATCGCTCACGTCACTGTAAGTGGGGAGCAGAGACATGTGGGGTGGGGGTGGGAGAGGGATGAATCCATATTTTCCAGGAGGTGTTTATCAAGGTTTTATGTTTCCTTACACACTTGTGGCAACCTGGTAAAAGAAACAAATATTTCTTCAGGGGAAATTGATCTTGGGGAATATTTCTACAATACTAATGCATTATTTTTATTGATTAAGTGCCCAGCAGCCTTCCCAGTTATTGGCTTCTAATTCGAATGCATCTTCTCCTCCAACCGCATCCCCCTTTCCATCCCACGTGCCTCGGCAGCACTGTCCAGGGAGATGGAGAGAGAGGATTGTAATGTATGATTAGTACCATGTGCCCATTTTTTCCATGCATGTGACCTTGTCTAGAGAGGATCTCATTTTCTTCCTCTGATTTTAAAGCTTTTTCTCCAAACCAACCTCATGGCTATTGTTCGGAGAATGCATCAACCCCATCCTGTAAGCCTTTCTTTGATTTTGAAACCTGAAAGCAGGCTATTCGATGGAACCAAAGCTGTGCCTACCAGGGGCTCAGAGACCCTCTGGGGCAGGAAGGCATAGAGCTTTGTTCTCACCCTGCGTGACTTGCCCTGTGGCACAAGGACCATCACTTGCATCTTGTATGCATGTTCCCTCACAGGCAAAATGGCACAGTGACACCTCTCCTGCCTGCAATGCATTCATGACTGCAGTCACAGCAATCTCTGGCAGTACTCACTGAGCACTTACTGTGTACCTTGTACTCTTCTAGGAGGCTTACAAGCTTCATCCTCACAAGGACCTAAAGTATAAAACCTGTCCTCATCTGTCTTTAATGGTTGAAGAAACTGGGTCATCTCAACTCCACACAAACAGAGGTTTTTATCTCTTTTGATCCTGGCTTAATCTCTGGTACCTCAAACAGTACCTGGCACATAGCGATTGTGCCGAAAAAAAAGACATGTTGAATAAACAAATGTAACTTTGGATATCCAGAGTCCACAGTAACAAGTGAGAAAGGCAGGATTTATGCCCAAGCAGTCTGACTCCAGAACCATGCTCTTGATCCCCATCTATACCACATCCTGAGATAACGTGAGAAGTATAAGATACAGCTAAGGTATCATCACTTGATATTTGTGTTATTTGGTGACCTGCCCAACCTGGCAAGGGTAAGGATGCTGAGAGGAGAGCTGTCCGTGCTTTGTCTCTCTGTGCAACCTATTTGTTTAATTGATGAGTGGGCAGGTAACAAGATACACATTTTCCCCCACCTGGCCCCATCCCACTGGGAAGGGGCTGGAGACAGGGAGGTCTCTTGATTCAGCTGTTGCTGGCTGCTGGCGGAGTAAATTAGTTTCATTTATCAGGTAGAACATCTGGTTGGGATATCAAAGGCAGGATTGTATGTGAGATTAGTGTCTGCTTATTGTGCTGAAGATCACAGAGGAGGAGGGAGAGCAGCCGTCTGCCCCCCGGATCCTGTCCCTGCCCCCACCCTCCTGTCCCGTCTGCTTTCTCTTTGCTGGGATCTGGGAACCTGCTGAGGACAATGAGAGGCTTCCTGTCTTACAGGAAAAGAAATTAAAAATCTGGTTGCCAAGTGGGAAATTGGCATGCCACTAGCTAATTCTGAACTCTATCAGGGCGTTGTTTAAATGAAGTGCTTCTCATCCCCAATATATGCATTCATCCATTCAATAGATGCTTACTATGTACTGAGCAGCCTTACAAGCACTGAGAATGTGGCAGTGACCTGGACAGACAAGTCTTGGCCTCAAGGAGCTTTGAACAACACACCCTACCCAGAGTGAGAAATGGCCGAAGTAAAGGGCAAGAAAGCCTTTACCCCATACCTGTTCATTACTCTCTCAGACAGGCATTTACCGTGTTAGATCCTGTTCAGTTTTCAGCTCTAGGGACCCAGCCTTGGACAATCCACATGATGTCATCACACACATGGGATCTATTAATCTATTAAAGTGGGCCATAGAGGAGACACAGAAAATGTTTAAAATAAATAAATGTATAATAATATAACATGACATAATGAAAATGGATTAGGTGATAGAAAATGACTGATTTAATGTATGTAAATTGTCACTTAATTTAAAAAAAATCAAATGCAGAAAGAAAGAAAATGTTGACTGAGATATTCAAGAGAACCTTCCAAGGACAAGGTGTTTAAGCCCAGATCGGAAAGGTGGGAAGGGAAGGCCAGGAAAGCGCTGCGGATACAGGCAGACAGGTCTGTGCCCAGAAGCCCTCACATAGACTACAGCCCACATCAGCCTCCAGAGAGTGACTCCGACCCACTGAGTAAGCTTAGGCACACCCTACGTGGACTTGTGACGCAAGGACCCCCTTTCCCCACCCTGCCTGTCGTCCCACCAGCCTCTGCTGCACTGGAGGGTCTGACATCTGCCAAGCCAAGCACAGTCTGGCACAGTGAGCAGTGAGACATTGATGTGAATTACAGATGGGAGCCTGAGCCGTCATGCTGACTTTTATTTAGTCATTAATTTATTGAAACATTGATGAAACACACCTGTAGGCTGAGCGGGACACTTAACTCCTGGTGGGGTCTGGAAAATGGGGCTGTGGGTTTATCACTCCCATTTACCGTTTCCTCATCCTAATATTTTGCCTTCTCAAAGACATGTCACAGCCTGGATTTGCAGTCTGAGCGAGAGTCAAATCTTGGGTTAATTCAGTGTGCTCCAGGCCTCAGGAGGGAAACATTTAAAAAAAAAATCTTTCCAAGTTCCCTCCATCTCAGAGGAGGCTGGACTGCAGAGATCGTCAAAGTCTGCGCCATGGATGAGATCAGAGAGAAGCCAGCAGTGTCTGTGGAGGGCGTCACCAGAGGCCAGCCCGTGGATAAGAGCTCCAGTGTGAGGCACTCTGTGGGCTGGAAGAGATGTGACCACTGTCCCCTCTGCTCTTTTCCAGGGTGCTCTACGGGAACAAGATCACGGAGATTGCCAAGGGACTGTTTGATGGGCTGGTGTCCCTACAGCTGCTGTGAGTAGGAACTTTGTCACTAATGTTGTCTCTAGAACTGTTTACAGGCTCTTTTCTGCAAACCTTGAGCCATGCTCTGTAGAGTTCTTTTGACTTTGTGCTTATTAAAAGGAAAAAAGAAATTGTTTTGAGCTATCCACCCCTCACCTCCACCGCCTTATGTTGGTGGAAAGAGAGCCAGGGAGTTGGCAGAGGAAGGCTAAAGTCAGTGTAAACAAGCTAGGTGATACAGCTTGGGAGCCTGCCCCAAGCAAGAATCACTGCCCTTAGGCTTGAGGGGCTAGAAATTAAGCCAAAGTCGAATCCCGCAGTAATGCTTAGAATTTGGGGAACTAGAATGTTTATACACAGTATTCCAATACTAAAGCTGAAACAGAGCTGATGGTAAACATGTGACCTTGAAGGAGGTAGGGGTGGGGCAGTGAAATAATTAGGAGCATAATCAGTCACTGTTGTGACTGTCTGGGAAAGATATGGCTGAGGGGGAAGTGTTTATTTAATTTAAAGAAGGATTTCTTGCATCAAATTTTAAGCTCTGGGATTACTTACTTGCATTTATTTCGTTCTGGTCATTTGAGCTTAAATGTTTGAAGAACATTCACTTACTAGTGAACTTACATTCACTTACTAGTAAGTTCACTTACTAGTAAGTTCACTTACCAGTGAACTCTATATGGAGAAGCAAGGAAAGGAATTTAGCTCATCTTGTATTTTAAGATTTTATGATCAGGCTAGAATGATCTCTGACTTGTGATCAGGTAGCCATAGCACCTATACGCATGTGCTATGGTTGTGGGAAGTGTGTGTGTATGTGTACCCATGCACACATCCATGTCTGCACATCATAATTCCTGTTGGTATTAGGAAATGATCTTGAGTATTCTGTGAACAATGGACAGTACCAAGTTTCAGAGAGGTGAATGACTTGCCCTCAATCACACAGAAAATGGGTGTGGAAGCTGGAGTAGAACTTCCAGGGCCCTCTGGCTCAGAAGGCCCCCACACCTCTGAAGAGCACCAGATGTATGTAACCAGAGGCGTGCATCTGAGTACAGATGAGTGTGTGTGTGTATATGTGTGTGTGTGCGCACACTCATACGTGTGCCCTTGTAGAATCACCTCCAAGTCGCAGGACCCTTACAGAAGGGGCCTGGGCCCACCCTGCCTCCCATGTGCAGTTAAGTGAAGCTCCATCACAAGCTTGTTGACAATGTAGTCAAGTTTTATCTCTGGATGGGTGGACAGTCAGGAACAAGGGTGGATAGAAGAAGGTCCACAAGGCATCTCACACGGGGACACCCAAGATTCTTCAAGAAAAAGGAAGTGAGGCTTTTCCTTTAGCCTTTTCTTCCCACATCTCTGCTCTCTACCCTTTCTGTGCCCTGTGAGACTCAGCCCTGGACGGAATCTCCTCACTCAGTATTGGCACGTGAACCACGCCTGGATGAGGTGGCCAGCGAGTTTTCAGGCAGTATATCCATCACAGCACTGGGCAGGCTTGTTTCAGCGAAGAGGAAAGCCAGAGAAAGAAAATTCTTTGTCTTTTTCTCCACTTCCTCTTTGTCCAGCCCTGCACACCTCTGTCTCCCTCTGTGTGGCTCTGTGTACCTATCAGTGGTCAAGTGTCGCAGCCCTCGGTGGGCCTTTGTGGCTATTTGTTAGAATGATATGTCAGGGCTCTGCAGGGAGCTGGGGGGTTTCACAGATGGTATTCTTTGCTTGGAGCAAAGAAAATGTTAGTTATAACAGCCACCTGAAGGCCAGTTGGCTGTACCTATTAATCCCCTGCCAGAAGATAACAATAGGGTGGCCTAGAGGGAGATTCGGAGGTATTGTGTTTCACTGGGCTGGGGTAAATATCCTTTTACAGTCATGTTTTGATTGTTGAAAGCTATATGCCCTTGTAGGCATTAAGGAGAAACATAGCATGCATCAAAGTGCCTAGCACGGTGCAGGGCATACAGCAGAAGTGTCATAAAGTCACGTCCAGGGGCCGTGTTTCATGCCGCTCGCTCTGCTGATGTACCTGCTGCTTCCCCTGCTGGGTCAGGCCTCGGGCGCGGCACTAAGGAGTTGCGTTGCGGTGTATGGACTTCTCTCTGGTGGTGGCGCCTGAGCTTGGTTGCCCCACAGCATGTGGGGTCTTAGTTCCTTGATCACAGATCAAACCCCCACCCCCCACATTGGAAAGCAGATTCTTAACCACTGGACCATCAAGGAAGTCCTGAATGCATGTTTTTTAAAGGAAATAGATTCCAGCTCCCAGCCGAGAGCAGTCATAAGATGACCAGAGCTTTGCATGGGCCGGGAAAAACTCTGGTTGCGTTTCGCTACTTTGAGCTGATGGAGTTGAATATCTGGGAGTGAAGACAAAGCTTTCCCCTTCTCTCAAGACCAAGAGTTGACACAATTCAAGTTCCTCACTTTCCAGAAAGAACCAGCAACTATAGCTGTTATTGGGCTCTGACCTGGTGTTGAGCAATTAGAAAGCAGATTCTGATTAGAGCTAATGTAGTGTTCTGCCTTTGGTAGATAGGATTTCTTCTTGTTAGACTGGAGACATTCCGATAAGAAGGCTCTGATTAGAATACCCTGCTAGCCTGGGAAATTTCCTTTCCTTTTATTTGAAAGCTTTCTGCAAGGATTTGGTGTGTTTTCTTCTCTCTCCATCTCTCAAACCATGGTTGCATCACAGAGCAACTGTATTCGTTGGAAGAACTGATGCTGAAGCTGAAGCTCCATTACTTTGGCTGTCTGATGTGAAGAGCCAACTCATTGGAAAAGACCCTGATACTGGGAAAGGTTGAGGGCAGGAGGAGAAAGGGGCAACAGAGGATGAAATGGTTGGATAGCATCATCGACTCAACAGACATGAGTTTAAGCCAACTCCAGAAGATAGTGAAAGACAGGGAAGCCTGGCAGTTGCAGTCCATGGAGTCACAAAGAGTCAAACACAACTTAGTGACTGAAAAACAACAGCAGAAAGCCAAGCTGTCTCTGTCATCCAAAACGATCTTGGATGTTTCCTTTCTGACACTTAAAAAAAAAAACTTATTGCTTTATATTGGAGTGTAGCTGATTAACAGTGTTGTGATAGCTTCAGGTGGACAACAAAGGAACTCAGCCATGCAAATAGATGTATCCATTCTCCCCCAAACTCCCTTTCAAGCCAGGCTGCCACATAACAAAGAGCAGAATTCTCTGTGATATATATAGTACGACCTTGTTGGTTAACCATTTTAAATATAGCTGGCACTTCTTTATAAATTCCCATGTGCCCGTACTTTTCATGTTGTACACATCAAATTAGAGTAAAAAGATTACTGTAAACAAGAGACAGCCCCTCTGTTTCCATGACCAGCACACTGTATTACAATAAACAGAGTCCATACTCAACCCGTAATAAAGCAGGTGTGTTGTAGTTAGTTGTCCTGCCCGCCCATCCCCTCTTTCCCTGTGTCTCTAAAGTTTTCAGCCATCCTACCACGCTAGGTCAGCCTGTTAGGTACCCATCCCTCCTGGGTCATCTTCTTGCCCTGTTTCTTTGGGAAGATGGCCAACACTAATGGGAAACTCACTCTTCAGAGTTTCTCAGAGGCTGCAGCAAACAGGTCTGCATGAACAAGCTTCAACTGCCCTGGGAAGGGACCGCACGTCTAATACCCTGTCTTCTGGGTGTCAGCCTCGCAAGAGTCACCTCCTTTAACTGGAGTTCCAAAATCTTCAGAGCTTCCCAGACAGCTTCTCACCCAACTGGTATAGAATCCTGTCCCGCACACGCTCGCACAATCCCTGCTGCTCTTGTGCTGATGGTTTCTGTGGTGAATTCTCTCAGCGTACTGACAAGGTCAGGAAGCTCTTTCTCTTTTTCTAACTTTGCGTTTTATATTGGAGTATAACTGATTCACAATGTTGTGATAGTTTCAGGTGGACAGCAAAGGGACTCCAGCTATTCCTTATATTAAACTTCAGTCATGGCTTCTGCAAAACTCAGAAAAGGCTATTCTCATATTCTTCACGTGTTTGAAAATAGTATGTCTCCCTGTAATTAATCCTAAAAGATTCAGTTCCTGCAGACTTCCATCTGCATAAATACTCAATACAGACTTAAAAGTACAGACTTTCATCTGTATAAACACACGTTTGTTGTTTAGTTGGAACAACCCTTATGATCTTTGAGGGTGTGAACGAATCTGCCAGCTTTCTTCCTTGAAACAGGCTGCTAGGACGCAAGTCAGGGGCCCAGTTGGGGAAGAAGTGTGTTGAGAGATTCCATTGTAAGCTGCGGAGAACTGAAACTTCCCATATGGAGACATCTCAGAATCACGGCTCACACAGGACATGGCACTGGATGTGTATTCCCAACTCTGATCACCTGAGAAGTGACCTGTCCTCTTCTCCCAGGTTTCATCCACCCTCTTTATCACTGGAAACTTAGTGTGAAGGCTTAGGTTTTCACCATTCCCTCTGCCCACCCTGGCTCCTGGGCTCATGGAGATTGTGATCCTGAGTGTGTGTCCAGCCAAAATGTCCCCAGATTTGTGACTTCGCAGCTCAGGAGTTGGTCCTCCCTAATTATAATTTTTTGGGCTCTGAAATCACTGCAGATGGTGACTGCAGCCATGAAATTAAAAGACGCTTACTCCTTAGAAGGAAAGTTATAATCAACCTAGATAGCATATTAAAAAGCAGAGACATTACTTTGCCAGCAAAGGTCTGTCTAGTCAAGGCTATGGTTTTTCCAGTGGTCATGTATGGATGTGAGAGTTGGACTACAAAGAAAGCTGAGCACCAAAGAATTGATGCTTTTGAACTGTGGTGTTGGAGAAGACCCTTGAGAGTCCCTTGGACTGCAAGGAGATCCAACCAGTCCATCCTGAAGGAGATTAGTCCTGGGTGTTCATTGGAAGGACTGATGCTGAAGCTGAAACTCCAATACTTTGGCCACCTCATGCGAAGAGTTGACTCATTGGAAAAGACCCTGATGCTGGAAGGGGTTG